ATAACTGGTCCCATCCCAGGAGCGGCTAGGAAAGCCGAGGATGTGAGCTGGGACATAAGCTGAGGGTAAGGTCTACAGGGGAGCTCCGTGTATTTTTTCTAGGCACACTGAGAGGAAGAAGCGCCGTGGCTCTACCCTTCTGGCAGACGGCGACGGCCGTGCTGCCCATCCCACCCAGGTGAAGAAGCAAAGCTACTGAGCTTGCTTCCCTCCCGTGCTGGAATCCACTCAACAAAAGCAGTGCCAAAGTTTGGCAGGGCAACTTTTCGCTGCTAACGGAGCTCTGCGAAGTCACGCAGGCAGGGTTTTATCTGACCTTTGGAAAGCTGAGTTTTAATCTGATTTTTTTCCGATATGCTCTTAGCAGTATGGAGAATCTTCTTGTGTTTTAGTAGGGCTTCGATGCATTTATGAAACAGTTAAAATAAGCTATGTTTCAATATAGAAAAAAGCTCAAAGTGGTGAGAACGTGTGATTGTGTATATTTTATGGAGAACAATTTAAAATAAACAGCCTTCAGTTTTTAATTGGATGCTCTTTGAGTTCAGTTTTAGGCCATGCATTATGCAGACACAAAAAAAAGGACTTACAGATGAATTAGGAAGCGTATTGTTACCTGATGTGCATTTAAATTAGTGGAATACACGTTGAGATATTCTGGAGAGAGCTGCTGTTTTCTGCATCCCAGACAAACATCTTTTTGAAGAAAAAAAAGCCCTACACACCCTTTAGCCCTTGGCTAAAACATAATTGGGGGGGGGTTTCTCAAAGGCTACGAACTCTATCAGAACAAATCACTTAATAAAGCTTAACTGCAGTTTTACACGGTAAGTAAGTTTTACTGTTACAAGGGGAAAAAATAAAAAAGTTTTTCAGCATTTTGTTGGTCATTTGTATGGTAAAGTTGAGGCAACATTTGGCAGTGGCTGTTTCTGGCTCGTTGGATCACGGAGGTCTTAGCATGAAGACTCCAGTCATGTCACTGGGGATGGACCATTGCCCTGTGGTGCCTGGCACCAAGCACTGTCTTGTCACCGTGGTATTAAACTAACAGCTTCTACGAGAGAGATGTCACACACACACAAGGTCGACTTAAATAAATTTCAGGGTGAGATGTGTAAAAGAAACTCTTGATTGCCCAGACCATCACTTATCAGCAAAAGAAATATTTTGCTAGTGTTTGCCTCCATCAGCTTTTACCTGGGGCAGGGGGGATTCCCCACATCTCCCTTGTGAAAGTGCCTTCTGCCGTGGAATGTCCTCTGATGCATCTCCTCCATCCTTCCAATTTTTAGTTTCCTTCCATCACCTCTCGTTACGCTTGTCTGAACACTCATTAAAAGTACGGGCTTCTTTTCCATGCAGTGAACCAGAGAGACAGACAGCAAAGTTTAATTGAATAATTAATAGATAAAATTTTGCCTCTTTTATGACAGACCCTTCTACATCAGCAGAAACAGCTGTTCACCTTTCTCACCGCTGATGAGGGCCACTCATACTGGCCCCTCTGCTCATTCCAGCTGGATAGCGGCCGGTTTGGGGATGCAAGGGGAGGAAACTGAGGCTCACCGAGCCGGAGCACTGACACAGCACTGCCCAGTTCCTGCTCTCTGATGCAGGGTGCTCACATGGGAGGAAAACACCTGTCCTGATCTCTATCTTTAAGGCTTGCCATTGCCTTGAGCGAGATATGTAAAGACTCCTCCGAGTGGGTCCAGACCAGACCTAAGCACAGGCTATGGCAGGTTGAGCAACCTGGTGTAGTGGAGGGTGTCCCTGCCCACGGCAGGGGTATTGGAACTAGATGATCTTTGAGGTCCCTTCCAACCTAAACCATTCTATGATTCTACGAAGTGCTGAACCTCTGTCCAGCCTGTGCATGAAACAGTGCTCAGAGATGCGGGAAGCAGGCAAGCAGAGAGGCAGGTGTTTAGGGTAAAAATTTAGACACTTCTGGTGCCCCCAGTCAAGCAGTGTTCAGGCTCACAGCTCTGGATATAGGTGTGTAAAGACCAGTTAAATCCTTCCCTCCCCCCAGGGAGGAAGACGCTACAGCACAGCACATGGACGGAGCGCTGTGAGCCCCCTCTGGAGCAGCTACGCAGCTCGGTACTGCGGCGCGGTGCACCTGCACTCTAACACGGCAATTAGCATTTTCTCCTGGTTAAGTCCTTTTGCACCAGGGGCGAAGCCTGCTCGAGAGAACAGACGTTCAGGGAGCGGCTTACTCCTTGCTGTGAGGTACAGCCTGGCCCAGCCCATACCTGCCCCTGCCCACATGTGCTGTAGCTCACGAGAGCACTCAACTCCTCTTTCTCCCTGGCTGCTAGAATATATTTATATATATTTTTTCCCCATAAAGCAAGGCTTTGGAGCAGAGGGGTTTATTCCTGTCTCTGTCTAGCGAGCACTAAGAATAGGCTCCAGCCTCCTGCTGCTGGGCATGACTGTCACAGCCCTTTATGCACTCTTACCTCGGCCTCGGTTTTAGTTATTCTGTTTAATTGGCAAGTTCCACAGATGTTTTGCAGGACATGAGAAAAGGGTATGCACATATGGAATATAACTTCCTTTGAGGGACCTTGTTATCTCTGCTAGGGCTCTTTCATTCCCTTTCCTTGTCAAGATCAAACCTCCACTCGGATGGAAATCCTGTGGTGTTTGAAAGGTAAAGGTTCATGTGTATTGCTCATGTGTGAGGGAGAAGCTGATATCACACCTGCTAGATCCCTCCGTGCTACAGCAAGTCTCTCCTGCAATATGTTCCATAGTCATCATCATTATGCAGCTTAATGAAGGTTAACAGGCTGATTTTGAAGCAGCTTAAACCTCTACAGTTTATACTAGCTCCTTGTGGATTTGTGGATGCTCTGCCTGTACGCAAATAGGAGATCCCATTTTTCGATCCGTACTTACCCATGTGCTTTAAACACATCCTTTGTTATTTACAACAATGAGCTTGTAGCAACATTTTCCTGTTCACTACGTGTGTGAAGGCGGTCTCTCCTGCGCCCACTTGGCAGCTTATCCACAGGCTGACCGGCTGCTGTAACTGGTACTGGCCCCGGCGTCTGCGTCTCACCAGGAATTCTCCTTTGGCACGTGTTGTCGGACCCACACGTTTCATGGGAATCCTGCCTGCCCCTGCCAGCAGTAACGTGGTTCTGATCTAACAGGTCAGTCAGGTTAGTGCCCGTCACATGTCTTTAATTGCCTTCTAGCCGTTCGTTACACCCAGAAGACGCCAGGATAGAGCTTTCAAGCTCTGGTGCAAACAGAGTAAACAGCAAAGAACAAATGCTACCGAGCTCAATGTGACTTTCATGTTCCTTTATAAAGCCTTATTTTTTTCCAATTTCCCCCACGCACACTCTCTTAAACATGGGACAATATTTAAAAAGTGAAATCTCTGTTTTTCAGCCACAAGAGACAGAAAGCTGGCCTACCTAGGCTATTGACTTCAGAAACACAATTTCTCATTATTTCCCATCTTTTACATCATGATCTAAGGCCCTTACAGTCCTGAGATCCTTGTATTTTAATACCACATCTTTACAGGAAGAGTTCATCAGTTTGGAAGGATCAATGTCTAAAATGTGCAAATAAAACTGACAAAACAAAAAACTTGTTCAAACTTTTTTTATTAGTTAAAAAAAAAAATATTTCCACGACATCTAGAGATCCCAAGTGCCAGTGCAGATGGATGTGAGACATGGATCAGTGAACCCAACCAAAACACGCCGAGCGAGCGGGTTGGGAAGCCATGAGGGAGGTGGGGAGGGAGACACACGCCCTGCAACACGGCTGCACTTTACTTACAATCAGAGGAGCCTGGCTTACGTATTTTGTGCCTTTGTTTTTTGAGGGAGGTGAAAGGCTACAGAGCTGAAGGGAGTTAGTCTATGGAGCGTGGGATTTTCCTGTTGTAGTGTCAGCTAATATTTCCATGTATGCTCTTGGAACGCTCTCTTTTGAGCTAGAAGTCCCTAAGTTGATTAATTGCCTTCATTTTCACCCTGTGAGAGAACACACATGGGAAATCAGTTAAACACGTCCGGTGGAAAACATATATAAATAAAATCAGGAGAAAAATCAATGCTGGTAGTCACCACATAAAACCTGATAAACAACTACGTAAGAATGACTGTGGTGCAGAAAATAAATGAAAATAAATGAATTACTCCCCCTTCTGGGAACCCGACATGCTCCCGCTGTAACTCAGACCTCTGGGGAAAACGAGGGTGTGATTTCGCACGTGGTGGAAGTTGAGCTATCGTGGGGCCGGTAGGAGGGTCCTGATTTCTGCTGCCAGTTCTGTCCCCCTCCCCAGTACACAGCCTGATGCTGGCGCTTGTGCAGCCACAAAGTCAGTCGGGTTCGCAGGGCCTGTTTTTGGGACGTGTACCAGGGGGGTGATGGCTGGCAGAGGGTGGTAGGCACAGGCTGAGACCTTTGGGGGCTTCAGGCAGTGTGAAAACAGCCTGAGCATCAGCGACGCTGAAAACTGGGTTCATGCAGCACCGTGGGTCTTGTGGAGCAGGTGGCCAAAGGCCTTAGCACCGGAATTGTAAAGGAAATTCCATGTTGGGTAATAAGAGGTCATGCTCTCAGAGATGGACATTTGATCCGGGGCTCCAAAAGGACTTGGCAGGCAGAATAGATCAAAAAGTAAGAGAACTAATTTAAATATAGAAAAATCTATAAAAAAAAAATTTAGCTTGTTGTCTAAAAATCTATAGAAAAACCTAACTTGTTAGCTAAAGCTCTTGTGAAGCATGGCTGCGACCAGGAAAATCTATTCCATGAGAAGGTAAAACCATAGGAAAGCCTTAACTATTATACATGCGTTTACACCCCAAAATCAGCCCAAGTCAGACAGCAGTTCACAATCTGTCACTCATGGCAAATTCAAAAAATCTCAAAAAAGGAGGTGGCAAAAGTGATGACTCATTTTTTTGTCAAATAACTCATGAAAGTGGGAATACTGACGGGCTCCACCCGCAGCAGAACTCTAATCTCAGAAAGCAAAGGGGAGATAGTCCTGGGGAAAGCCAGCAACCCAGAAAAAGCCCATGTGCCATCTTGAGACCCCAGGACCACAGGGAAGTTCGGGGCGGTGGCATCCCCTTACCTCTCCGCCGCCACCTGTGCCTGGTGCTGGGGCTCCCTCTCCCGCTGCCTCTGGCTGCTCGGGCGGTTGCGGTGCTGCCAGGTCCTCCTGCCAAGTCACAAGCAAGGTGTTTCTCCTCACTGCCACATGCAGAGTCACGGTCCTAATCTTAGACAGACTATTTGAGCAGACTGTGCAAAATGGGTTTGAGCATTACACACATGAATAAAATACCAGGTTTAATAGATGGTAAATATTGCCCAAAATCAGTTTTTTATGCACCTTGTCAGAGCAGATGTCTGAAAAAGCACTTCAATTTCTTAGAGCCTGGTTTAGAGTCTTTTTCTTACAGAAAATCAGTTCTTTTTCTGAAGTTATCTTTCCTGTCGCTGAGACCAAATAGAGTTTTGACTCCTTCAGTGTGAAATTAGGGAGCAACAAATAAATTTACTTAGAGTAAGACAGATTACACCTAGCCTTTCTCTGCCTTCTTTCACTCTAAGCGCTCATTGCATAGACTATGCTAATTTCAGATATAGCAACATTGTGGCAGCATTAATGTCATGCCTCAGACAGAATTTCATCATCAAAGGATAAGCTTTCCTTTGCGTTTGAAGTCCAAGCATTTTCATGAGCACTTTGGGCTCTTTTAGCTACTTCCTCACATCTTTCAGCTACCTTCCTATTCAAAGAAGAAGAGAAAAGATTATATTACCAGGCAATTACTTTAAAACATGATTTTGCCACATGGGAAGAAGAGAAGACAAAACTCCTGATGGACCATACTGCGTGTGCCCAGGGGATGGACAGAAAGCAGAAAGGCACCTTCATGGAATTGGTCAGCAGGAGCAAGGGGAAGCAGAAATAACAGGACCTTGACAGTCCAACCCTGAATCACTGGAGAACTCTGCTAAAATTACAAAATTTCTCTGTTCCCTTTGAGTACACGTGCCCAGCAGCATCCCTGAAGTTTCACTCTCCTTTCCCACATGAAGTCAGGGCCACCATAGAAGGAACTTGAGACACATATATTACATAAAGGGCAAGTCAATTCTGCATGGAAGGAAGATATATAGTTTGAATTTCAATGTTTTGGAAACATGAGGCCACCACTTTCCCTGGTGCTGCTGCTGATGCAGGGCAAATCAAATGTCCCTGCCAAACCTACTGTAAAGAGAACTTTGTGCTCCATGCGTTTTGGGAGCCTCCATTCTTCATTTTCACACTTGTCCTTGCCTTTCTGTCCAGTCACAACTGTTCTCATCAGTAGGAGAACACCTCCTGCTGCGTTTGGGACTGAACTGAGGAAGAAGAGGTGATGTGAAGTAAAAAGGAAAAAAATAAACCTATGTCACAGAGTTACATAGATAGAAGGTACATCCCATAAAGATTTAAGCTGGAAATTGGACTTTAGATCCTTATAACTCAACAGTACACATTAGGTCAAAGCAGCTAAATAGCATCAAATTGTATTTTGAGGCTTTACAAGCAGTTTTTTGGTCTGTTAGGTGGAAAGAAAAGAAACCTGCAGTGCAAGTCCATGACAATAGCTGCAACAGCAGGCGCTCTGTAGGTTTTTTGCATGTGGGGTTACCAGCTGCCGTGTGGAAATCGTGAAGGTGAAACAAAGGCGACTGCCTAAGGAAAACTGGGGGATAGCTCATAGGAACACTAGGACAAGTGCAGCGCACACCATCTTTCTACAGGACATGGCCACCCACTCTTCCTGTGGTCAGGGAGCTCGGCTCTAGCAGATGTGGAAACAGTCATGGGAAAGGGGATCCCTTCCTCAGGATCATCGTCAGGACATCACACCCGAGAGTGACGGGTGAACTGAAGAATCCCTGTTCAGCTATTGCGCTGCTTATTATGTCCTTTAAACTGTACTCTCTGCCAAGGCTCTGCTCCAGAAGGATAAAAGCGACTCATCCACCTATTTTTAGAAAGGGAAGCAACCACGTTTCTGGAGAGCGTTTGTAAACTCTGGTGGAGGAACCAGCACAATTGCAGGATGAAGAGGTGTCAGGCTGTGCTAGGGACGTCGCCTCACAGCCTTTTTCTCATGCGCTTCCCACCCTGCCCAGAATAGGGAGCACAAGATGAGGAAGGGCTGCATTCTTCAGCTGGGCATTAGCTGGCTGGGGATTTTGGTGACTAGTCAGGAAAACAACATACAGAGGAGGACCATGGGATGTAAGGGTCTTCACTTTGGACGAAGAGCCAGAAAATCCTGGGTACCGACTCCAGCTGCAGCAGTGACTCGCAGTGTGATGCTGGGCAAGAAAGCAAGGGTGAAAATCCAGCTCCTCTGGAGGACACCAAGAACTTTGCCATTTCTTTCAGTGTTCATCTCCTCATTAAAAGGGACAAAATGTTCTAAGGGAAAGGCATGTTGCAACCACGAAGTAATTAGTAACGCTCCCCCTGCTCTTTAAACGGCAAACGGATTTTTTTCTCCTCGTCAGAAGTGACGTATTGGCTTAGAAAAAGTATTTAAAATGAAAATAAAATTATTTAGTTTGTTATGCGTTGTTTTCTTTTTTTTTTTTTTTTTTGAAGGGTTGAATATTTCTTGGCTAGGAAAAACAAAGCAGTTTAACATAACAGTTCAGTGAAACATAAGGCCTCAGAATTCATTACAGGAACACCATACTAAACAAATATATATGTATAGAATATATATACTATAGAAGATCTATACATATAAAATATAATTTTCCAATAAGTTTATGAAACATAGTTACATGTTCAGATATCTCTGTTGCATGTTCCTCTGGCTGAGTCCATACATGAAACAGAACTGATATTTTTATTCATATTATGTTATAGGCCAGTGGGTTTTTTTGGCCATCCCTCAAAATTCTGAAAGAAATAACCTTATTGGGATTATCTTCCTCATCAAACAGAGAAAGCATGCAGAGTCTAAATGTTGGATGCTGGAACATTACTCATCAAAAACCTGACAAATTCCGTGGTAAGGAAGATTTCTTTTTTATTATTATTATTTTAAGGCTGCAAAACCACAGAGTTGCACTGGCAACCTAATCTGCTACAAATTTAACAGCCCACAATGGGACATCAATTGCATAATGCAGAGAAAGGTTCAGCCTCCTGTAGTGCTGTCGACCTTGGGCGTTGGAGCAAAAGCAATATTCCTTGGCAGTATCCCCAAACCACTCCCTTGTGAACCCTCAGGCAAGCTGACAGGTCCTACAGACAGGCTGTCCTGGATGGGTTTCGGGCTGAATGTGCTCAGAGTGATGCTGACAGCTCTGGCTAAGAGGTCAACCCATGATTAAAGTGAGTGGACCCACTGATGGGACGGACAGATGGGCATGCAGGATTCCTGTCTCACCCTACAAATCCAGGCGGCCTCTTGGGGTAGCTTTGTTTTCATCCAGCCCGCAGCCAGACTCTCTTAGGGTATCCTGAGGCTGCTTATACAAATAATACACATTTAATAATGTTGACATTATTACCCTACAGGATTATTCTCAGCCTTTAGCCATGAAGCACGCACACACACACAGGTCTTGTAGACATTAAGGCTTCATCAGCACCACGAACTCAGCTATTCTGCATGTGAAAAATGCATGTCTGGACACACTAATAAGACTGAGAGGGGAGCACAGAAAAAGCACCTGTAGGCAGTGTACCCCACTCCATGCTGCTTTTGCAGTCTTGTCTGCTCTGCGAGACTATGAATGATACCACCAAGATGCCTCACTGCATCAGCAATGTACAGCAAAGCTTGGATACAAAGGATGAAGCTTGAATACAGAGAGGAAGAGTTTCAACTATTTATTCCCCTTAATTGTGAGGTAGCTTGGCTGTTGATTTCCCTGCTCCTCCTGCTTAGCTGCTCTGCCCTGGGTGGCCTTTCAGATGCCCGTGGTTGCTCTCTCCCAGTGGCACTCACCCTGCCTGAACTAACTCATGCAGGTAGGTCACTCATCAGTTTCTGCTTCTAATTCCTTCGGTGCGACTGACCCGGCGCCAGTGGTGTCGCAGGGTTTAAGCGAACAGAATTAAGGCCGTGAACACCACCCGTTCTTATTTAAAATGTGGAGCGGTTACGAAAGTGATAAGCTGCGGTACGGGTTTGGTACACGTGCGCTAGATCAAGCGCAGAGAGAAACGATGCGATCCAACAAACACACCCCATGGTTGGGCATAACTGACAACCCCTCAAATAATTAATGGAGTGAAATAAAAAAAGATCAAACCCAATTCAGAATGACAGAGCCATGAACTGACAACTAAACCGTATGAAAACTGACAGATCTAAAGGGAAGATCTAGGTGCAGGCGTCAGCTACTGAGGAAATTCCTCCAGTCCCCGAGGGATGTTTTGTGAGTGAGTGTGTGTGTACGTACATGCGCTTGTTCCCAGCCACGTGGTGTCTGCAATGCAGCAAACTTTGTGCTGTGTCATGCAGACGAAGAATTAATCCTCTTCTAAGACATGGATATTTAGCGGGTGGTTATCTCGCTGAAATCCCTTAATGTCCACCCCAGGGACTGGGATGGGTGCAGAGCCACAGACAAAACACATTACCAATGACTCCCATACCTTTGTGTATCAGAAAAATTGTGGAGGGTTTATAGTCTTTTAACTTACATATTTTTTACTTAATACTTAAAAACTCCTCCAAAACAGAAAATACATTCTTGCAGTCAGTTAGCAGCGACCAGGCCGGTGCCAAAGCCCTACCAGGCGACGCCAACACTACTGGAGGTTGCTCTCGTCTGGCGCTTGGCACCCCTCCGTAGGTGTAGAGTTACCTCAGCCCCATTTCCTTCTGCCTGGCTCCGAGTGCTCCCACCACGGACAGCAAGGAGCGGCAGGGTGCCAGCCACCCCGCACTTGTCCACGTTTCTGCACCTGCCCTATTCCACAAACAGCTGAATTCTTCCAACACGACACACTCCCCATGGCCAACGTTGCCACCTGATACCCCCACATAGCTCAAACACCTCGCGGCTGCCGCACCGAGCAAAACTTAATCCAGAATCCTTAGAGTTCCCCACTCCTTGCTAGTATGTGTCTGTCTCCAATCTCAGCTGTCAAACACAGATTAAATGTCAACAAGCTGTCTGTAATTGATATTAACACTGGGAATGCTGAGCCAGGGACATGCCTCCTAGGCCACTCAATTCCCCGGATTTGAGTCATCCTGTAGCACTGCTCAGTGCTCACCATGCACACACACAGATCCCATGGTGCTTTGAACAACCTCTCTCTAAATCAGCAGGGAACAATACCATAGACAGTTGAAAACAAAACCAAAATGTTAGCAACTGCTCTTTGCAATTAAAAACGAGAAGGACAGAATGGAGCATGAACAAGTCTCAGGACTGGATGCATCAACTCTCTCAAACTTCAGGCGCTGGAACAGTTGTGTACAACTTCAGAATTGCAAGATTTTAACAGTAGGTGTTTATTTTTTAAACATCTAACTGATATACCTTATCACTCTTCTTAGCGTATCTCCAGTGGGTCTCTCAAAGGCATCACAAGTGCCTGGTGCTGCTCCTGGCAGCCTCTGGCTGCGTTTCCATTAGCAAACTCTGCAGCACAATAGGAGCAGATCTGGAGAGAAAACAGCTGCTACCCAGAGCCCAGTACAACTCCTCTACTTTCAGAGCCTTCCCTCTGGAGCAGCTCTGGCCACATGGCCATTAGCCATGAACAGCTGGGATGTGCTCAGTGTGCATACAGAGCTCAGTCTTCCATGGCCTTCCTATCCAAAAGGTATCTAGTGGATGCAACTGAAGCATGGTGAGTGAGGATGACTACAAGATTCACACTCCTAATGTGAACTAAATCAGTAGAGTAGATGATCCCTCTCTTTCACAGAAACAAACATTTTTGCTGAATTTCTCTCTCCACTCCTTTTGCCTTGCTTTTCTCCTCTCATTTTCATTCTGCTGCCCACCTCCACTATTTGGCATGACACCATGATACCGTATCCAAAGCAGTTTCCTGGCTCCCTCATGTAGTCTGCCTTTTGGCATGTGACACATCCCATTTTTTTTTCTTCTTGATCAATCTCCACTTAAACTCTAAGAAGGTGGACCTTGACAGAAGACACCAGAATGACAGTTCAGATGCTTAATTCTTTAACACCCCGGAAAACTCAGGGCTTTTGCATATTGCCTGCAGTCTGCACAATCCTGAACCATTACTAGGGTGAAGTAGTCACTGATTTTTTAAGGGACTATCTGCACAAGGATGGAAACACTCGTAAGTTGTAGCTTGTCAGCCTTTGAGAGGGGATCTCTCACTTAGGATGAAAGTCGGAGAGGATTGCTGCTGCTCAGTCCTTGCCAGGAGGCCAGACAGTTTGGTGTCTGCAGGATGGATTCCTACCATCAGCGAATTCCTACAACACCCCACACCCGGTCAGTCAAAAGGTATGAGGGGGTAGTCTGGCCCCACGGAATTAGGAATCGCTGATTGCACCCCTGCAGCCTGACTGCTGTTCCCTGTGGAAAGAGAGATTAAGCATATCCCCAGAGCTTAGCAGAACTTCTGTATCTGCCCTTTTCACATGCTTTCAGGAGGACATTTTGCGTCACTCGTAGCTGCTGTTCTTCTCTTTTGTTAGGCTATTCTCTCAGGATTTATATGGCGTGTAGAAGTTTTGTTTCACATCACAATGTGTTTACGTACAGGTCAGGAAATTCATCAGCCAACTGTCTGAACAATTAAAACAATTTTGGCCAGCCTTGCTTTGCTTTGATTCTGGGTTTAGGTTTGCCGTGACTCATCCAGCTCACGTCGCTACGATGCTATTGACCACAGCTCTCTGAAGAGGGGAAGCACAGCTGGGCTTACCAACGAGCTGCCAAGTATTAGCCTCCTGTGCCGTACTAATGGTTGCTGCTTGTTACCACCCGGTGAAAGCATCTTCCCTAATGATCAACTTCGCCTTCACCCGGGGAGCTGGTCTGCTCCTTCACATGCCCCTTAACCCCCTCACTTGCAGCAACCTCGTTTGTCATATGAGGCTGGAGGACAGAAGACGCCTTGTCTGAACCTGGCTTAATCCGTGCACAGTTTGGATCACGCGGCCTTTTTCAACAAGCTCTTGGTTGTTGTCAAAACCAGCACAAAGCAGAGCAGGAGGGTCAG